AAAACCGCCGGACACGGAGGCTAGGGAAGCTTCGCTGTGTGTGCTGTCACACGTCAGTGCCAATACCGATGCTGTCCACGCCTCCCCTGGCAAACTTGCTCTGACTCCAACTTCCCGGGGTATAAAGGCAGGAAGAGGTAACAAGGAAACGGCAGCATTTGAACAGAGGAACGGTGGAAACAACCTAACGGCCCAGCAACAGGGAGTGACAGTGTGGTCAGCACTGCCTGGGGGAAAACAGGCTCCGGGCTGGCACTGACGCTACAGTGTAACGCACGCAGCTACTGTCAGACATCCGCAGAGACCAGGAGGGCCTGGCCCGGGCTCGTCGCAAACTGGGGCTCCGGGTGCGGAAATCCAGGGTGTTGCTACTGTTCTCACTTTGTACTTCTCAGTATGATTTTCTGTATGGACAAAACCAAACGATTAACAAGGCACAAGGTAGCAGGGAGGACACCAAACTACTCCAGAGGAAGCAGGCAGAAGTGAGAACTTGCTCCCGACTTCTGCGACCCCACTCACCGCAGCTGAACGGGAACCCACACGTCCCACTAACATCTGAGGAAGTGGACCCCACCTGAGAGCCACCGACACAGCACACAGGTCTCAGCTCTGCACCTGTTCTCCACCCCAGGGCTTTGAGGTTCTGCCAGCTCAGGCAAGGGTACTGGAAAACGTGAATCCAGTCTCAGTGGTCACCCGTGAAGCTCACCTTACACACCTGTGCCACAGAAAGGTGACACTTTGGGAGATAGGCTCATTTTGTAAAAATAAGAGTCCTAATATAAAAAGCTCCTACAAACCAATAAACAATACCCCAACAGAAAAACACAGGATATGGCAAAAAAAGCTTACAAAACACAAATGATTCTTAAGTACATAAAAAGTTGCTCTTCCAGCCAGGAGCCAGTGGCTCCAGCCTGTAATCCCAGCACTTTGGGAGGCCAAGGTGGGCGGATCACCTGAGGTCAGGAGTTTTGAGACCAGCCCGGCTGACACTGGGAACCCCATCGCTACTAAAAGCAATTAAAAAATTAACCAGGTGTGGTGGTGCACACCTGTAATGGCAGCTGTTCAGGAAGCTGAGGCAGGAGAAGCAGAGGTTGGAGTGAGCCGAGATAGCGCCACTGCACTCCAGTCTGGGCAACAAGAGTGAAACTCCGTCTCAAACAAACAAACAAAAAGTTGCTCTTCCTCATTCATAATAAAACAGGTACTCAAGATCCCATGTTGCTTCCATCAGACTCAGAGTCAACAGTCTGACGGCACCAGGTGTTATTATCCACGGTGAGGAAACAGAGCACTCAGACTCTGGGAGGGAGAGAACCCCTTTGGAAGGCAAAAAGGGATTACATATCTAAATGACAAAAGCACACACCTTTTGACCTCACAATTCATTTTGGGGTATTTCTCCTACAGATTTACTCACATATGGGAACTATTACATCTGTGTCGGATTATTCCCTGAAGTGCCTTTTAAATATCAAGACAAGCAAAATGGTAAGTGAAAAATGCTGAGCACCAGTAGAGAGGCAGTCAAGAGAACTGCTGTAGCTGGGCACAGCGGCTCACACCTGTAATCCCAGCATTTCGGGAGGCCGAGGAGTGATCACCTGACGTCAGGAGTTCAAGACCAGCCTGACCAAAATGGCAAAATCCCACATCTACTAAAAATACAAAATTAACTGGGCCTGGTGGCAAGCCCCTGTAATCCCAGCTGCTCAGGAGGCTGAGGCAGGAGAATCGCTTGAACCCAGGAGGTGGAGGCTGCAGTGAGCCAGGACTGGGCCACCGCACTCCAGCCTGGGAACAGAGCAAGCCTGTCTCAAAACAAATAAATAAATAAATAAACTGCAGAGCGCATGGCCCGGCCCAGATGAAATGAATCAAAGTCTGCACTTTCACAAGACACCCAGGCAGCTCTTAGGCACACGCCTATGTCTGAGCTCAGCCAGGCCTTTACTTTAGGAAAAGAGTTACCACCAGACTCCTTCAGAGCATTTCATTTTTAACTTTCAGGAGTCAAAGCCTCCTTTGAGAATCTCATGTGAATCAGGAAAGCTCTCTGAGGCAGCCAGTGTCAGCAAGGCAAGATGAACTGTTCCGTGCTAAACCGAATCCCCCAACCCACAACTCCTATGTGAAGCCTGACCTAGCTGGGACCTCAGAAGGTGACTGATTTTGGATAGGGCCTTTACCCTATCTGTGAAACAGAGGTCACTGGGGTGGCCCTGACCCATCTGAACTGGTATCCTTATAGGAACAGGAGATGAGGACATAGGCACACAAGAGGAAGACTCTGTGAGGACACAGGGAGAAGATGCCACCCACGAGGCAGAGAGGGACCTCAGAGGAACCAGCCCTCCCTGCCAACCCCTTGATCTTGGTCTTCCAGCCCCGAAAACAGTGAGAAAACTGTCATTTCAGGCCCCCAGTCTGTGGTATCTTGTTAGCTCAAGCATACTAGGACAACCACCATCTTGTTTCAACATTGAGAGGTGAAACCTGTCCATCCCTCCTTCCCAATTTGTCCGAGAAACCCAAAGTCAAGACCAACCTACCAGAGAGCCCCTGTCACCTGCAGAGATTCCTGCAGAGGGGCTTGGGGCAGGACACCTCAAGGCCACCTTGAGGCATTCACCCTGAATCCTGAAAACACTTCCCACCTTGTATATTCTGGGTCCTAAACGACTTACGTTTCGGCTCTCTTAGTGAGAAGACGCTGTTCTCAGGCCTTTCAACATAAAGATGATGCGCTCCACAGCAGTCAGGTGGAAGCAGCCATTTCTCATCAGTTATAACTCGGACACGTCGGGATATGCATTTAAAAGGCATTTTCCTACTGAGAAACCATCACTACCTATGGGAAGGGAGCCAGAAGCAGGGTGGGGAGGGAGACTATCGCATACTCTTCCGTTTCATTTTGTTTTCAGTTTTTAAACCATTCTCAAAAAACCTATCTGATACACAAAACACAAAAACATACTGTAGATCACAAGTACATAAACGTATACAGTAAAACCCACATACACAAAAGCCCACACATAGAAACCACGCAGCGTTTCAGGGCTTTCTTTTTATCCGCCTGGAAGAGAGGACAGAGCAGGCGTTCGCTGCTTTTGATACCACCTAGAATTTGCCTTTTTTTTCTTTTTTTGAGACGGAGTTTCACTGGTCACTCAGACTGGAACACAGTGGCGTGATCTTGGCTCACCGCACCCTCCGCCTCCTGGATTCGGGTGATTCTCTTGCCTCAGCCTCCCGAGTAGCTGGAACTACAGGGATGCACCACCATGTTTGGCTAATTTTCTATTTTTAGTAGAGACCCCTATCTCTACCACGAGTACAGGCGTGAGCCACCATGCCCGGCCAAATTTGGTTTTCTACTCTTCCCTTTGAAAGTAAGATGAGGCTGGAAGCGGTGGGTCACACCTGTAATCCCAGAATTTTGGGAGGCTAAGGCAGGCAGATCATCTGAGGTCAGGAGTTCGAGACCAGCCTGGCAAACATGGTGAAACCCTGTTTCGGCTAAAAAAAAAAAATACAAAAATTAGCCAGGCATGGTGGTGTGCACCTATAGTCCCAGCTACTCGAGAGGCTGAGGTGAGAAAATCACCTGAACCCAGGAGGTGGAGGCTGCAGTGAACCAAGATCACACCACTGCATTCCCGCCTGGGTGAAAGAGTGAGACCCTTCTCAAAAAAAAAAAAAAAAAGACGACGAAATAAAAATCTGAAAGGCTTAGCTGAACCCCATATGAGTGTGTGAGCCAGCTACAAACAGATATTCCTTAACCTCAGGAGCTCAAACATTGCAACTGACTATCAGGCATCAGGGAGCAGTTACACCATGCACACAGCTTCAGGGAGGTGAAAATGAAGCACCCAGCAGTGATTCTGCTCCGTGTGTGTTTACATCAAGGTTACAGAACAGTCAGAATGATTCTAGCCCTAACTCCATTAACGGAATAGTAGGAGACTGTCGGAGGCGACAAAAATGTCAATCTGCCCAACGCTGTGTACCAGTGTCCCCTGCCTCCTCTCACAAGGACATGCTGGTAGTGAGAAGAGGCCAGGGCCTGGAGAGAGTCCCAGAACAGCAGGGTTCCCGCCCTTTCAGAAAGTGATGTAGAACACTTTGAAGAGGAATAGGGAGCAGGGCATGGTGGCTCACACCTGTAACCCCAACACGTTGGGAGGCCAAGGTAGGTGGATCACCTGAGGTCAGGAGTTCAAGACCAGCCTGGCCAACATGGTGAGACCCCCATCTCTATTAAAAATAGAAAAACTTAGCCAGATGTGGTGGCATGCACCCGTAATTCCAGCTACTTGGGAGGCTAAGGCAAGAGAACTGCTTGAGCTGAGATGGAACTGCTGCACTCCAGCCTGGGCCACAGAGTGAGACTCTATCACAAAAAAAGAAAAAAAAGGAAGGCAGAAGAATCTTTCCAGACTTTGCTTGCAAGAGGGCAAAGCACAGCAGTATCTCTGTTCTTGCCAGAGTTACTGGCCTCCCCATCCAAGGGGATCCACTCCCCACCCACTCTTCAGACACTCAGAAATACACGCACTAAACCCACCTCGCCTAACACCGTGGTACAGACCCCTCGAGGCACCCCAAATCCCTAACCCTCTCCCAGTGCAGGTGCACTGCCTTGTTCCCACTCATCACTAGGACAGAGGACCGCTCTGGACAGCAGGGGCACCAATGCTGCAAGCGGAGGGACCAGATACAGGGCCCGGCTCTGCCTTCCGACCCCACTGACTGGAGGTACCCAACACCTCACCACCCAATGTGGGCTAGAACAGCACCCCTGCACCCTCCCGGAGCTGCTGCGAGGCTTGGATCAGCTAACTCACATGCAGTGCTGAAAGCTGTGTCCGGCACCACCTGTGGCTCAGCACCCACCACTTATCACCGTGGTACGGTCACTACTGCTACAGGCATGCAAGTGTAAGTGTGCATTTGACATCTTAATCATCAACGTTAGCATCTCATACCTGACACTCAGGCATTGCCATGGTTTTGTACGGAAAAGAATCAGACGCTTACTGTCATCAGTTAAAGCAAAATAGCTGCCAGACTTGGAGAAGGTGGACGCCAGAATCACACCGCTCCCCTGGACCAAGGGCGCGTCCTCCCTGAGGAAGAGAGGAGGAAGATGGTTAAGCCTCACCAAAGGAGATGAGGCTGCATTCCTTGATGGCCAGCATGGAAATTGCTAACATGGGAAGTGGCAGAAATTGTTAAGAGGCGCACATAGCAAAAATGCAGACATATTAAGGGGATATGGGAGGCTCAGGCAGGAGAATCCCTTGAACCCAGGAGGTGGAGGTTGCAGTGAGCCAAGACTGAGCCACTGCACTCCAGCCCGGGCAACAGAGTGAGACTCTTGGCTCACTGCAACCTCTGCCTCCCAGATTCAAGTGACTCTCCTGCCTCAGCCTCCCCAGTAGCTGGGATTACAGGTGCCTGCCACCACGCCCAGCCAATTTCTTGTATTTTTAGTAGACAGGCTTTTGCCATGTTGGCCAGGATGGTCTGGAACTTCTGACCTCAGGTGATCTGCCTGCCTTGGCCTCCCAAAGTGCTAGGATGATAGGCATGAGCCACCATTAAGAGTACAGCTGGCCAGGCACGGTGGCTCACACCTGTAATCCCAGCACTCTGGGAGGCTGAGGTGGGTGGATCACTTGAGGCCAGGAGTTCGAGACCAGCTTGGCCAACATGGTGAAACCCTGTCTCTATCTTTAAAAAAAAAAAAAAAGAGTACAGCCAACAATGTACTCTTAATTTCTAATTTGAAAGTTACTTTTACACGTCTTTCCTGAAGTGGTACTTAGCCGCACCGTTGTGTGACAGAAGCTAAGAATTCAGCAAGTAAGACAACAATTGCTTCTTAGACCCTCTGGTCCCGTTATCAAACCATTAAATCAGGCCCACATCTCACCCTTTATTTTCTTGTGGCTTCTGTTCTGCAGCACTGCAGTCATAGATGAAGGGGCCGTCATCACTAAAGGTAAATAACAATGATTTTAAAAGGCGTCATCATTAAAGAGAAGTAACAATGATTTTTTTTTAATTTAGAATAATCTTTTATTCACAATACTTTTTTTTTAAATGATTACACTTTAAGTTCTGGGGTATATGTGCAGAACATGCAGGTCTGTTACATACGTATATACGTGCCATGGTGGCTTGCTGTCCCCATCGATCTGTCATCTACATAAGGTACTTCTCTCCTAATGCTACGCCTCCCCTAGTCCCCACCCCCCAAAAATTATGTTTTTATAATTTTTTTTGAGACAGTCTCACTCTGTCACCCAGGCTGGAGTGCAATGGTGCAATCTCAGCTCACTGAAACCTCCACTTCCCGGGTTCAAGTGACTCTCCCGCCTCAGCCTCCCGAGTAGCTGGGATTACAGGCGCCCACCACCATGTCCAGCTAATTTTTTGTATTTTTAGTAGAGATGGGGTTTCACTATACTGGCCAGGCTGATCTCGAACTCCTGACCTAAGGCGATCCACCTGCCTCCATTTCCCAAAGTGCTGGGATTATAGGCATCAGCCACTGTGTCCAGCAACAATGATTTTTAAAGGAGAACGTTGTTTAAAAAAAAAAAAAAAAAAAAAAGATTTTTTTTCTCTGTAGATCAAAAAATATTTGCATATTCATTAAAGGTCTTATCCATGACAAGAAAACTGTCTAGATATAATGTTTCAGGGAACAGTTAACAACTTTAGTTGCTTAATCTCTTATTGGAGTATATCATATACAACCCAATAGTTCTGTGGGAAAAAAAAGTCCAGGCCAGGCGGGTGGCTCACGCTTGTCGTCCCAGCACTTTGGGAGGTTGAGGTGGGTGGCTCACGAGGTGAAGAGTTCAAGACCAGCCTGACCAAGATAGTGAAACCCTGTCTCTACTAAAAATACAAAAATTAGCCAGGCGCAGTGGTGGGTGCCTGTAATTACAGCTGCTCGGGAGACTGAGGCAGGAGAATCGCTCGGGAGACTGAGGCAGGAAAATCACTTGAACCTGCGTGGCAGTGGTTGCAGTGAGCCAAGATCCTGCCACCGCATTCCAGCCTGGGAGACAGAGTGAGACTGTCTCAGAAAAAAAAAAAAAAAAAAAAAATCAGTAAAACAAACGAGGGGTAAACACTCAACAGGAATTAATAACGTTATTCTTATGCTATTCCTTCAGGCACCAGAAAATCTAAGCGATGTTCTGATGCTGTTGAGTTTTCAGTGGGATTCTCTATACAAATTTCAAAGAGCCATTACCTATTCAGAAACGCATCTCACCTACCTGAAAATGTTCCCATGACTCCAAGCACTTACCAACATAACAATCACCCATCTTCCATACTGAATCTAAACTCTCTTCAGTTTATCCCATCCCCTACCCTGGCACGTAGCTTGTACTTATTTATAGCCTTTAAAGTGCACCAAAAAACTTTCCATATGGAACAGTGGACTTGTCTTCCAAGTCGGAAACTCCACCAGCCGCTAGAATTTCCTCAAAATGCGTAGACTGATGGTAAGCACATCATGTCTAACGCATCCACAGCTCACTCTGGGCAGGTATTAGACCGTGAGTCTCTAAAGCAACATTATCTTGGATACATGACAGGTTTCTGAGTACAATTTTTGTAAGACCTAATTTAACATGGAATTGGCTTTCTGAAAGCAAAGAATATAAGTACATCTGACAGACACAGCATCTGTTTCAAGTATTAAATCACAAACCACCTGGGAAAGAAAATGACGGCTGAAACTGACAACACTACTAATAGCTCCGAGAGTCCTAAGTCGGGACTGTCCCATCAACAAACATTTACTAATTTAAAAATCCCCGGCGTCGTCCTAGCACTGGTGATACAATAAGGATGGAGAATAAAATTACAGAAAGCAAAACTCGAGCCATGTGAAGGGTCGCTAGGGAGGGGCAGCTGCGAGCTCTACGTGCAGCCTCGGGTCGGTTGTGTAAGTGTCAGAGACGACCCGGGAGTCCTAAGGAGCAATTAAGGCCGGGTAGGTGGCTGCAGGCCGGGAAGAGGGGACAAGCACCCCTGCAAAGAGAGGGAGCCCGCTCGGGGGTCAGCGAGCTCGTCGTAAGCCCCGCCCCTCTCATCAGGGAAACCCGAGACCCCCTTCTTCCCAGGTCTTCACAGCGTATTCGGCCCGGCCTTGCCAAGCGGTCAGGATCCCCGCCGGCGCCGCCGAGACTGGAAGTGACCTGGCGCTAACCCGGCGAGAACACTGCAGACTCGCCGACTAGGGCGAGGAGCGCGCCGGGGCCTATGGGGCGCCGAAATCTAGGATCTCATGGTCTCTCCTAGATTGGCTTATCTCCCCACTCCCGGACACGCGGCCAGGTAGAGACAGCGGCGGAGGGCTCCTGGGCTGGAGCGGGGTTCCCCTGGGTCACCCCAGAGCAGGTGCGATCAGGCAGTGCGGGAGAAGCCGCGTAGTCAGGGCCCGGCGCGCGCCCGCAGCCTGGGCTCCCTGTGACAAGACCAAGGCCCCCTCACCTGCTTGCAGTGGAGGTGGCCAGGAATCGGCTGCCGCCCCGCACCACCAGCGTCTGCCCGCACAACGCCAGTCCCACAGAGCCCGCCATGTACCCGCCCGCCGCGCCGCCATACACATGTGCCACCCCAGAGCCTCTTCCTGTCCGCGGCCGCCGGTGACGTCACGCGTAGACGCCGAGAGATGACGTATCCCCCGCGGAAGAGCCTGCCTTGCGCGTGCGCTGCAGGTGCTGTGACCGTCCTCCCGTTTGCGGTTGGTGGCCGTCGGTGTTTCGGGCTGGGCCGCTCACTCACCATGGCGATCTGACGGCGTGCACTTCGCGCGATTCCGAGTGCTTGCCTAATGTTCGTCCTTTCCTCCAGACGGGGATCTTTGTCCGCCGTAGCTGGAGAGACGTAGGACCTGATAGCTACTTGATGGCTGGTAAAAATGATCCTTCAAGAAGTGAATGAGGCCCGGCGCGGCGGCTCACACCTGTACTCCCTGCACTTTGGGAGACCTAGGCGGGCGGATCACCTGAGGTCGGGAGTTCGAGACCAGTCTGACCAACATGGAGAAACCCCGTCCCGACTAAAAATACAAAATTACCCGGGCCTGGTAGCACATGCCTTAATCCCAGCCACTCGGGAGGCTGAGGCAGGAGAATCGCTTGAACCCAGAAGGCGGAGGTTGTGGTGAGCCGAGGTTATGCCATTGCACTCCAGCCTGGATGACAAGAGTGAGACTCCGTCTTAAAAAAAAAAAAAAAAAAAAAGAAGTGAATGAGCTGGGAGCCGTTGTTCACACCTGTAATCCCAGCACTTTGGGAGGTCAAGGGAGGCAGATCACCTGAGGTCAGGAGTTCGAGACCAGCATGGTGAAGCCCTGTCTCTACTAGAAATAAAAATTAGCCGGTCGAAGTGGCGCGCTCCTGTAATCCCAGCTACTCAGGAGGCTGAGGCAGGAGAATCGCTTGAAGCCGGGAGGTGGAGGTTGCAGTGAGTTGAGATTGCCCCACTGCACTCCAGCCTGGGCAACAAAGCGAGACTGTCTCAAAAAAATAAAAATTAAAAAATAGTCCAAGATGTGGTCATGGGTGTGGGTGTCACATAGGTGGGGTCAAGTCTGAGGTTGCTGGAAGTAAGCCTGCTTAACCTTTGCACTTAGACAAGCCAAAAATGCCTTAAAATTTCCAAACAGGAGAGATATTTTCAACCCAAACTGTGATTGGTTTCCAGTGTTCCTCCCAAGATCCCCAAAAGCTTCTTCCAATCCCAACATCAGGCACAAAATCTAGGATCTCATTGTCTGTCCTAGATTGGCTTGTCCAGTGCAGCTCCTCTTGATCCAGAGACTTACAAACTAAAAAGATGCATTTTCTCTCCCATGCACTCAGCATATGATGGGCCAGATAACCACAATGAATACCTCAACGTGAAAAAGAGAAGAGGAGAGACAGAACAATCACGGTCCACAGCAATTCTGAAATAAAACTGGAAGATGTTTTCAGGCCCTAGGGGGGTAAGAAGTGTTCCTAAACCAGACCCAAGTTCTGCCTGCTGGGAGTACCTCGCCAGGCTGTATCTCAGCACGACTCTTGCCTCTGCCTTTCTGGGTGACCCTCCTTTGCCAGAACCTTCTTGGCCATTTTGAAGAATGCCTTTGAGAAACTTTCTCAGCCTATTTCCTATCATTAGCAAATTTCGGACCCAGAGACCTTTTTTCATTTTAAACTGTTGTGTCCACATTTTGGCAGCTAGTGCTGTTTTGTTCACTACAAGTCCCTTAAAAACGTTGTGGGCTAAAGAAAAAAAAAAAAACCAACAACTCTGTGGGCTTCTCAAGAATCTTGATTCAGGTTCTCTCCATGCTCCAAAAGCCACTCCCACTAGTGTTTTTTTTTCTTTTTTTTTTTTTAATAAAGACGGGGTTTCACCATGTTGGTCAGGCTTGTCTTGAACTCCTGACCTCAGCTAATCCGCCCACCTTGGCCTCCAAAGTGCTTGGATTACAGGCATGAGCCACCACGCACTAGTGTTTTTAAAATAAGCCTCGTGGACCGGGCACAGTGGCTCACGCCTGCAATCCCAGCACTTGAGAGGCCGAGGCAGGTGGATCACCTGAGGTCAGGATCAAGACCAGCCTGGCTAACATGGTGAAACCCTGGCTCTACTAAAAATACAAAAATAAGCCGATCATGGTGGCAGGCGCCTGTAACCCCAGCTACTCAGGAGGCTGAGCCAGGAGAATCGCTTGAACCCGGGAGGCGGAGGTTGCAGTAAGCCAAGATTGTGCCACTGCACTCCAGCCTGGATGACAAGAGCAAGATTCTGTCTCCATATAAGTGTTATAACTAGGGCCTGGCGTGGCAGCACACACCTGTAATCCCAGCACTTCGAGAGGCCAAGGCAGGTGGATCACCTAAGGTCAGGAGTTTGAGACCAGCCTCGCCAACATGGTAAAATGCTGTTTCTACTAAAAATACAAAAATTAGCCCGGTGTGGTGGCATGTGCCTGTAATCCCAGCTACTCTGGAGGCTGAGGCAGAAGAATCACTTGAACCCAGGAGGCAGAGGTTGCAGTTAGCTGAGATTGCACCACTGCACTCCAGCCTGGGCAACAAGAGCAAAACTCCATCAAAAAAAAAAAAAAAGGCTGGGTGCAGTGGCTCACGCCTGTAATCCTAGCACTTTGGGAGGCTGAGGTGGGTGGATCACCTGAGGTCAGGAGTTCAAGACCAGCCTGGCCATCAAGGTGAAACCCCATCTTAAAAAAAAAAAAAAAGATGTAAGTAGGTTGTCAATTTTCCTGAAAATCCCTGCTGGGATATTGATTAGAATGTAACTGAATGGATTTTTTATATATCCAATCAGTCCCCAGGCTGGAGTGCAGTGGTACAATCAGAGCTCACTGCAGCCTCAACCTCCTAGGCTCAGATGGATCGTCCTACCCTGGTCACCTGAGTGGCTGGGACTACAGGTTTGCACCACAGCCCATTCACTTTTAAATTTTCTGTAGAGACTGGGGTCTTGCTATATTGCCCAGGCAAGTGCCAAACGCCCAGCTTCAAGTGATCCTCCCATCTCAGCCAAGATTTTTTTTTTTTTTTTTTTTTTTTAGACAGAGTCTCACTCTGTCACCCAGGCTGGAGTCAGTGGTGCGATCTCAGGTCACTACAACCTCTGCCTTTCCAGCTATTCTACTGCCTCAGCCTCCTGAGTAGCTGGGACTACAGGTGTGCACCACCATGCCCAGCTAGTTTTTGTATTTTTAGTAGAGACAGGGTTTTACCATATTTGCCAGGCTGGTCTTGAACACCTGACCTCATGATCTGCCCACCTCAGCCTCCCAAAGTGCTGGGATTACAGGTGTGAGCCATCGTGCCAGCCTTAATTTTGTATTTTTAGTAGAGACGGGGTTTTTCCATGTTGGTGAGGTTGGTCTCGAACTCCTGACCTCAGGTGATCCACCTGCCTCAGCGTCCCAAAATGTTGGGATTACAAGGGTGAGCCACCTTGCACAGCCTAATTTTTTTAAATTTAATTTCATAAAGAGGCAGAGTCAGCCGGGCACAGTGGCTCACGTCTGTAATGCTAGCACTTTGGGAGGTGGAGGCCAGCCTACTACTTGAGCTCAAGAGTTCCAGACCAGCCTGGGCAACATGGTAAAAATCTGTCTCTACAAAAAATACAAAAATTAGCCAGGTGTGGTAGTGTGCACCTGTATTCCCAGCTACTTGAGAGTCTGAAGTAGTAGAATCACCTGAGCCTGGGAAAGTTGAGGATGCAGTGAGCCAAGGTAGAGCCACTGCACTCCAGCCAGGGTGACAGGGAGACCCTGTCTCTGATAAATTAATAAATAGCATACATACATGTCTCCTTTTGGTTTTGTTTTTCTGGAAAACCCTATCTACTACAAGAGCCAAATTTTGAAGATTTTGGCCGGGTGCAGTGGCTTACCCCTGTAACCCCAACACTTTGGGAGGCCAAGATGGGCAGATCACTGTAGGTCGGGAGTTCAAGACCAGTCTGGCCAACATGGTGAAACCCCATCGCTACTAAAAATACAAAAACTAGCCAGGAGAGGTGGCACGTGCCAGTTGTCCCAGCTACCCAGGAGGCTGAGGCAGGAGAATTACTTGAACCTGGGAGGTGGAGGTTGCAGTGAGCTGAGATTGTACCACTGCACTCTAGCCTGAGCAATAGAGCAAGACTGTCTCAAAAAAAAAAATTTTTTTTTTAATCTGTTGGCATTTTTTTACCTTCTCCCTTTAGGTACAAAGGATTCCCTTCTCATGACTATCCTAAGATTTAAGGTTGTTCTCTTTGCCTCCCAGGGTGGATGGTGGCAGGTTCCCTTGCATCAACTCAATGAATCTCTAGCTGTGAGTCGGGTATCCCTACACAATTCATTTAAATGGCTATGGCATGGCCTCTCTGTGGAAGCTGAAGGCGTGGGCATGTCCATTTCCGATGAATTGCAAATAGGGTGCTGGGCACAAGAAGGGAGGCAGGAAATTCAAGAGGCACAGAAGGAAGCTAATAACTAATTACACCGACTCCATATTTACGCCTACCATTGGGGGCGAACTCTTTGCTCTGAAAGTTATAAACATTCATCGGGTGAAACAAAGCTTCCGTTTCCCATCGGCCTAACGCTGGTATGAGCGTTGGCAGGGGCGGTGCAAGATGGGCAGTGAGCAGTGGAGGCCGCGTTGCCGGCAGAGTGAGGGAGCTGGGCGCGTGGTGCGGGCGCCGAGGTCGCGAGCTGAAGAGCTTTCAAACGCCCCAAAACACGGGAATGTCAATCAAGTAGAACCAGACTGCCCCTGGGGAAGGTGTCGGATTTAAGGCTGCGAGGACAAGGGGAAAGAACAGCGAAGCGGTCGGGTGCGCATTCACGCTGCTGCCTCTGATTGGTGGCTCCGATACGGGGCGTGGCCTCAAACGCGGCGCGTAGCCCTACTGGGGATGCGCGCGCAGGCCCACGACCATTGATCCGCCCCCATCTGGGCTGTGATTGGCTCACTCGGCCCAAGGGGCGGGTGTTCAGGCGGGGGTGCGCGCGCAGCTGCAGAGTCCCGGACTACAGCGCTTGCTGTCACCGCAATGGCGGCCCCGCTTTTGCTGCAGCAAGGACGAGCCGGGGCGCTGAAGGTAAAGGAGGAGCCTGCCTGGGCTGGCTACGCGGTCC